CGCATTGAGGAGGTGCCATCGTTGGGGCGAGAACTGTTGGAGAGGCTGTATAGTATGACTGCAGGGTACGTGCATTTCAGTGAGACACCGGTGTGCAAATGTACGGCTAAGGCATCGCCTAGTTAGTACGTGGATGCGGGGTGTTTGGCGACCCCTTTGCTTGGGTCCAACTGTGCTGTGGCCTTTCCATGTTCCGCAGTTTCGCACTACGCGGAATTTCTAGTGATCTTGCTGGTGCAGTTGGCATTGTGGCGTAGAGTACATTTATTGCGTCGTGCATTGAGGGGGTTCCATCGTGGGGCTGAGAACTGTTTTAGAGGGTTCATAGGATGATTGCAGGGTATGTGCATTTGAGTGAGTCGCCGGAGGGCAAATGTACGACTGAGACACTATGTAGGACGTGCGTGGATATATAACGATTAGCGGCACCTGTGCTTTGGTTCATCTGTGGTGTGGCTCTTGCATGTTCCGCAGCTTCCCAGTACGCGCAGTTGTCTAATCGTTATGCGGCTGCAGTTGGCTCTGCGGGGTAGGGGATATTTACTGCGTCATGCATTGAGGGGGGTGGCATCGTCGTGGCGACAACTGTTGGCTAGGCTGTATAGTATGACTGCAGGATATGTGGATTTGAGTGAGACAGCGGTGGGGAAAATGCACAATTGAGGCATCATCTAGGAAGTGCGTGAATGTGGGGCGTTTGGAGACTCCTGTGCTGTTAGAAATCTGTACTGTTGCTCTTGCATGTTCCTTATTTCGCTCTCATCGCTGTTTCTAATAGTCGTAGCGGTGGAGTTGGAACTGCGATGTAGTGGGTATTTACTGCGTCGTGCGTTGAAGGGATGCCATCGTTGGGGCGACAAGTGTTGAGGACGATGTATAGTATGACTACTGGAAATGTGCATTTGAGTGAGACAGTGGAGGGCAAATGTACGACTGAGGCGTAATCTAGTCAGTACGTGGGTGTGGGGTGTTTGGAGACTCCTGTGCTTTAGTTCTGCGCTGTGGCTCTTGCCTGTTCCTGAGCAGTGCGCAACGCTACGCGTAATAATGTGCGGGTGCAGTTGGCTCTGTGGCGTATGGGGTTGTTTGCTGCGCGTCGTATATTCAGGGAGTGCTATCCCTGGGGCGACAACTGTTGGACAGACTGTATAGGGTGTCTACAGGATATCTGCATTTGAGTGAGAAACTGGTGTGCAAGTATGCGACTGATTCATCATCTAGTCCGTGCGTGGATGTGGGGTGTTTGAAGACTCCCGTGCTTTGGTTCATCTGTGCTGTGGCCTTTGCATGTTCCTTTTTTTCGCTCTCCGCGCGTGCATTTGAGTGAGACGGCGGTGAGCAAATCCACTACTGAGACACCATCTAGGATGTGCGTGGATGTAGGGTGATTTGAGACACAAGTGCATTTGTTCCCCTCTGGTACGACGCTTGCATTTTACGTAGCTTCAGGCTAGGCGCAGTTTCTAGTAGCCATTCCTGTGCAGTTGGCATTGTGGCGTAGGTGATATTTACTGCGTCGCGCGTTGAAGGGGTGTCATCGTTACGGCGACAGCTGCTGTAGCAGCTATATAGTATGACTGCCGGATACGTGTAATTGAGTGAGAGAGAGGAGGGAAAATGTACGACTGAGGCACCATCTAGTCAGTAGGTGGATGTGGGGTGTTTGGAAACTCCTGTGCCTTGGTTCATCTGTGCTGTGGCTCCTGCATGTTTTGTATTTCGCCCTCACAGCTGTTTCTAATAATCTTGGCTGCGCAGTTGGCATTGCGGCGTAGGGGACATTTACTGCGTCGTGCATTGAGGGCATGCCATCGTTGGGGTGCCAACTGTTGGAGAGACTGTATAGTATAACTGCCGGATACGTCCATCTGAGTGAGAGAGCGGTTGCCAAATGTACAAATGAGGCACCATCTAGGAAGTGCGTGGTTGTGGGGTGTTTGGAGACTCCTGTGCATTGGTTCATCTACGCTGTGGCTCTTGCATGTACCGCAGCGACTCACAACAGGTTCTTCGGATTATCGTAGAGGCGAAGTTGGCACTGTGGCGTAGGGGATATTTGCTGCGTCGCGCATTGAGCGGGGTGGCATCGTTGGGGTGAGAACTGTTGGACAGGCTGTATAGTATGGGGGTATGTGCATTTGAGTGACACAGCGGTGGCCAAATGCACGAAAGAGAACATGATCTAGTCATTACGTGGATGTGGGGTGATTGGGAACATTTGCGCTTTGGTGCATCTGTGCTGTTACTCGCGCATGGTGTTTATTTCGCTTTCACAGCTGTTTCTAATAATATTGGCGGTGCAATTGGCAATGTGGGCTACGGAATATTAGCTGCGTCGTGCATTGATGGGGTGATATTGTTGGGGCGACAACTCTTGGCGAGGCTGTATAGTCTGACTGCAGGAAATGTGCATTTGAGTGAGACAGCGGTGGGCAAATGTACGACTGCGAGAAAATCTACTCAGTACGTGGATGTGGGTGTTTGGAGACTCCTGTGCTTTGGTTCACCTGTGTTGTGGCCTTTGCATGCACGTCCTTTTGCTCTCCCAGCTGTTTCTTATAATCTCGCCGGTGCAATTGGGACTCTTGTTTAGGGTTTACTTGCTGCGTCGTGCATTGAGTGGGTGCCGTCGTTGGAGCGAGAACTGTTGAAGAGGCTGTATAGTATGACTGCAGGAAATGTGCATATGAATGAGAGAACGAAGGGTAAATGTACGACTGAGGCATAATCAAGGAAGTAAGTGGATGCGTGGTGACTGGAGACTCCCGTGCTTTGGTTTACCTGTGATGTATTTTCCGTAGCTTCACAGTACGCGCAGGTTCTGGTAATCTTTCCAGTGCAGTTGGCACTGTGGCATTGGGGATATGTACTGCGCTATGCATTGAATGCGTGCCATCGTTGGGGAGACAGCTGTTGGAGAGGCTGTATAGTATGACTGCAGGATATGTGCATTTGAGTGAGGCAGCGGTGGGCTAATGTACGACTGAGTCATCACTTCAACAGTTCTCTCCCCAACGATGGCACGCACGGAGCGGCGTGTTTGGAGACAACTGTGTGTTGGTTCACCTATGCTGTAGCTCGTGCCTATTCTGTAGTTTCGCAGTACAACCATTTTCTAGTAATCTTGCTTGTGCAGTTGGCACTGTGGCGAAGGAGATGTTTGCTGCGTTGTGCATTGCGCGGGTGCCATCGTTGCGGCGAGAACTGTTGGAGAGGCACCGTAAGGGGTGGGTGCAGGATATCTGCATATGAGTGACAGGTGTGGGCAAATGTACGACTGAGGCATCATCTAGGAAGTACGTGGATGTGGGCTGCTTGGCGACGCATGTACCTTGGTTCACCTGTGCTGTTTCATCTGCATGCTGCGTACTTTCGCAGTACACCGAGTCTCTATAATCGTGCCGGTGCACCTGGCACTGTTGCGTAGGGCATGTTTGCTGCGTCGTGCATTGAGGGGGGGATATTGTTGGGTCGATAACTGTTGGATGCCCTGTATAGTATGACTGCCGTGGATGAGAATTCCATTGAGAGCGGTGGGAATATCTACGTCTGAGGCTTCATCTAGGCAGTACGTGCAGTGTGTGGAGACGCAGGTGCATTGGGTCATCTGTGCTGTTGCTCTTGTCTGTTCCGGAGTGTCGCAGCAAGTGCATTTTCTAATAAACTTTCTGGGGTAGTTGGCCCGCTGGCGTAGGGGATATTTACTGCGTCGTCCATTGAGAGGGTCACATCGTTGGGGCGACAACTCTTTGACAGGCTGTATAGTATGACTGCAGGAAATGTGTAGCAATTGAGTGAGACAGCAATGGGGCAAATCTACGGTTGACACACAATCTAGCTAGTATGTGGATGTCGGGTGGTTGGAGACTCCTTTGCTTTGGTTCACCTGTGCTATGACGCTTGCATATTCCGTAGTTTCGCAGTCCGCGCACTTTCGAATAATCGTGCGGGTGCGGCTTGAACTGTGGCGTAGGGGACATTTATTGCGTTGTGCATTGAGAGGATGCCATGGTTGGGGCGAGAAGTGTTGGAGAGGCTGAGTAGGATGATTGCAGGATATGTGCATTTGAGTGAAGTATAGGAGGGTAAATGTACGACTGATTCATCATATAGGAAGTACGGGGATGTGGGGTGTTTGGAGACTCCTGTGCTTTGGTTCGTCTGTGCTGTGACGCTTGCGCCTTCCGTAGAATCGCAGTACGCGCAGTTTCTAAACAGCATGCCGGTGCAGTTGGCCCTGTGGCGTTGGGGATACGTACAGCGTCGTGCATTGAAGGGGTGGCATCGCTGCGGCGAGAACTGTTGTAGCGGCTGCATAGTATGACTGCAGGATATGTGGATTTGAGTGAGGCAGCTGTGGGCAAATGTAAGTTTGAGCAATCATCTAGGAGGTACGTGGAGGTGGGCTTTTTGGCGACTCGTGTTCTTTGGTTCATCTTTTCTGGGGCTCTTGCATCTTCCGCAGTTTCGCAGTATGCGGAGTTTCCAATAATCTCTCCGGTGCAGTTGGGGCTGGGGCGTGCGGGATACTTACTGCGTTGTGCATTGAGGGGATGCCATCGTTGGGGCGAGAACTGTTGAAGAGGCTGTATAGAATGACGGCGGGATACGTGCATTTGAGTGAGGCGGCGGAGGGCAAAATGTACAACTGAGGCTTCATCTAGGTTGTACGTGGATATGGATTGATTTGAGCGGCACGTGCATTGGTTCTCCTCTGCTGTAGCTCGTGCATGTACCCTATTTCGCTCGCATTGCTGTTTCCAATGATTCTGCAGGTGCAGTAGGAGCTCTGGCGTACGGGAAATTTATTGCGTCGTGCGTTGAGGGGGTGCCACCGTTGGCGCGGCAACTGTTGGACAGCCTGTATAGCATGGCTGCAGGGGCTGTGAATTTGAGTGAGATCGCGGAGGGAAGATGTACGCCCAATGCATTATATAGGTAGTACGTGGATGTGGGTGCATCTGTGCTGTGGCTCTTGTGCGTCCTGGAATTTCGCACTATGCGCAGTTTGTAACAGTCGTACCGCTACGGTTGGCACTGGCATGGGGGATATTACTGTGTCGTGCATTGAGCGGGTGGAATTGTGGGGGCGAACGCTGTTGGAGGGCTTGTGAGAGATGCCTGCAGCATATGAGCATATGAGTAAGGCAGTGGAGGGCAAATGTACGATTGATTCATCATCTAGTCAGTACGTGGGTGTGGGCTGTTTGGAAACACCTATACGTTAGTTCATCTGTAGCCTTTGCATGCTCCTTATTTCGCTCCCACTTGTGTTTCTACTAGTTGTGCGGGTGCAGTTGGCCCGCTGGCGTAGGGGATGTTTGCTGCGTCGTGCATTGCGAGGGTGGCATCGTTGAGGCGAGAACTTCTGGAGAGGCTGCGTAAGATGAGTGCAGGATACGTGCATATGAGTGAGACGGCTGTGTGGAAATGTACGACTGAGGCATCATCTAGGAAGTGCGTGGATGTGGGGTGTTTGGAGACTCCTGTGCTTTGGTTCATCTGTGCGGTGGCTCTTGCATCTTTCGTATTTCGCTCTCATTCCTGTTTCCAAAAATCTTGTCAGTGTATTTGGCACTGTGGCGTTGGGGGTATTTACTGCGTCGCGCATTTAGGGGATGCCATGGTTTGGGCGAGGCTATATAGGATGACTACAGGATATGTGGATTTGATTGAGACAGCGGCGGGCAAATGTGTGACTGAGATGTCATTTAGGCAGTACGTGGATGTGGGGTGCTTGGAGACGCCTGAGCTTTGGTTCATCCGTGCTATGGTCTTTGCTTGTTCCTTAGTGTTCGCAACATGGGCATTACCCAATAATCTTAACGATGTGGTTGGTACTATGGCACAGAAGATATTTTATGCTTCGTGTATTGCAGGCGTGCCATCGTTGTGACGAGAACTGTTGGACAGACTGTATAGGAAGGCTACAGGATATGTGCATTTGAGTGAGACAGGTGTGGGCAAATGCAGGACTGAGGCATCATTTAGTCAGTACGTGGGTACGGGGTATTAAAAGACGCCTGTGCTTTATTCATCTGTGCTGTGTCTCCTGCATATTCCGTAGCGTCGCACGACACCCTGTTTCTAATCATCTTGACTGTGCAATTTGCATTGCGGCGTACGTGATAATTACTGAGCCGTGCATTGACGGGATGGCATCGAGAGCTGTTGGAAAGCGGTTTAGTATGACTGTAGAAAATGTGCATTTCAGTGAGACAGCGGAGAGCACATGTACGACTGATTCATCATCTAGGTAGTACGTGGGGTGGCTTGTTTAGAGGCTGCTGTGCTTTAGTGCACCTGCGCAGTGGCTCCTCCTTGTTCCTTAGTGTTCAACAACGCGCAGTGTGCAATAATGTTGCGCGAGCGGTTGGCAGTGTGGCGTAGGGAAAATGTACAGCGTCGTGCATTGAGGGGTGGCATCGTTGTGGCGAGAACTGTTGGAGTGGCTGAGTAGGATGATTGCAGGATATGTGCATTTGAGTGAAGCAGAGGAGGGTAAATGTACGACTGATTCATCATCTAGGAAGTACGGGGATGTGGTGTATTTTGACACTCCTATGCTTTAGTTCATCCGTTCTGTGGGTCGTGGATGTTCCTTAGCGTTCCTCCATGCGCAGGGTTTCAATAATATTTCCGGTGCATTTGGCATTGTGGAGTTAGGGATATTAACTGCGTTGCACATTTGGGTGACGCCATCGTTGGGGCGAGAACTGGTGGGGAGGCTGTACGGTATGGCTGCAGGATATGTGGATTTGAGTGAGACAGCAGTGGGCAAATGTGTGACTGAGATGTCATTTAGGCAGTACGTGC